AATAAAAATAATTTTTTAAAACATTCAAACAAGGTCCATACATCATTTTTGGTATCTTCCTATTTCACTCTACAGATTTTTCCCACCTTTTTACCCCTCCCTTTGCAATTTATTTGAAGAAACATGGTCATTAGTTTCTGAAATTGTCCCATATTCTGAATTTTTCTGCTGACATCCTCATGAACTCTTGGTTTGACCCTGGGTCCCTCAAGACTTCAAAGTTCCCAAAAATCTTCTCATATGGCCAACTCGTCTCTAAAATAACACTGTAGACTTACCTGCCGGGCTCTTTACATATATTATTTCTAACACGGTATTTTTTTTTTTTTTGTATATATAACTGACCCTCCAGAGAACATGCCCACAGTAACACAGCCTAATGCCTAACAACACACCCCATCCTTTTCCCTTCTACCAAGTAGTCTCAATCATTGCATCATGGGTGCACTGTACACTGGTTGTACACTTTAACTGGAAGGCAAGCTAGTATTAACAGATACTTATTTCTAACATAAGAATATTTCATGCCGGCTCAGCAGCCATAGCTCCATGAGTAGGGAGCCAGCCACATACAACGAGCTGGCAGGTTTGAGCCCAGCCCCAGACTGCTAAACAGTGACAACTGCAACCAAAAATTAGACGGGCATTGTGGCAGGCACCTGTAGTCCCAGTTACTTGGGAGGCTAAGGCAAGAGAATTGCTTAAGCCCAAGAGTGTGAGGTTGCTGTGAGCTGAGATGTCACAGCACTCTACTGAGGGTGACATAAGTGAGCCTCTGTCTCAAAAGAAAAAAAAAAGAATATTCCATGCCTACTCAAAAATACAGGAAAAAAATAAGACTGCCCACCTAGGGGAGAAGAAGCCAATGCAATGGCTAGTCTTTATTGGAAAAAAGAAACTTTACAGCACATTTTGAGTAAATTAGTGCAAGGGCTCAGTGTGGGAGCTGGTGAGGCACCAGTTTGTAATGGGCTCCACAATTAGGGCATCGCTGGGCCTCGCCTTTGTGCAGCCAGAACCAGATGACAGTACTGTTGTCCTCTTCACCTAAAAGGAAAAGAGATGGTTGAAGGTCATCTGGCCTAGAAAGGGAGACTTTCAATATTGATTTCTTTTCCTGAGACATCGCTGAAATACAAATAAAACTATGATTGACATCTTAAGAAATGAATTCAAGCGCTCCTCTCCATTTTTCAGATGAAGAAACTGAAGTTACCTGTAACTAAACCTTGTATTGGGGTCACTGTAAATTCTAATAGTTCACTTGCCTATGTAGAATCCCAAAGCAGGGTACATTCTGGTATGTACCCCTAGTACCTAAAATGGGCTTGGCACAGAAGTAAAACAATAAATACTTTCTGGAGGAATACTCCTTCATGCTGCACTTTCAGTGAGCCAGTCTTGTTAGTCTTCTATTTGTAGTAAGGATGATCTACTCAGGCATGATGAGGGTTGCAGGGCCTCAGGTGCAAAGAAGGACCCTTAGAACAACTTTTTTACAAACATGCACTCACACAGCTTACAGATACCCTGTATAGTAGGATATGTTAAACCAATGGATAAGAAAAAAAGGTGAGGTACTTACAGATGCAGCCCACTATTCGCTTGTCGGTGATGGAAGGAACTAAATTAGGGTCTTCCTTGGTGCCTGAAGCTCCCTTTGGTGGTAGCATATTGTATGGGTCCTAAAAAAGACAAGAACTGAGCCACTATGCCAAATAACCTCTACTCTCCAGAAGCTCAAGGAGTTGTTCCTGCAATCTAGGTTTCCAGGATCAACCGAGAGGAGACTACTCTGATCACACCCCAAACCATAAACTCCACAGAAGGGAGTTTCTCCTCACCAGTCCCTTCCGTGCTGCCATCATGATCTCCCTCTCCAGCCCAGTTGCCTGCTCCTCATCAGTAGGAATACCACCTAAAGGAAAATAAGTAAATTATGCTATTGACTGAAACGACCAGGACAGAAAAATACGGAAATGATCAAGACAGAAAATGCCTAAGTTTTAATGGACTCACAAGCTCCTAAAGCAGTGGTTCTCAACCTTCCTAATGCCACGGCCCTTTAATATAGTTCCTGTGGGTCGCGACCCACCGGTTGAGAACCGCTGTAAAGGCTACCCAAAGTGGGTAAAGTAGGAGAAGCTTTTTTTCCCACCCACTACCGAGGCCAATTTTTCAACATTTTTCTAAAAGCAGGTCAGAGCCCGTTCATCTTGAGATAGGCGCAGTTCTGAAGGGCGGCCGGGCCCCTTCCCATCCTGGTTGCTGCCTCAGCCCTCCAAGGTCATCCCAGCACCTCTATTCAGTACACTTCCTCAGCGGGGTAAATTCGGCAGGCGGCGGCCCGGAATTATAGTGAGACGGCCGCGGAACCTGAGGCAATGAGGACCATCAGATGGTTACTGGGACCCGGAGAAACTGAACGGCCCGCCCGGCTTTGCTGCCCTAGGACCACCCCAGAGGTGCAACAACGCCGATCCCTGGCGCGCCCGGCAAGCCGAGTACCTCCAGACGCCATGGAGCGCACTGCAGGCAACACATTGGAACCGCGGGCTCTCAGGGCCTGCGCGGCCAGAGCTCCAGCTCCGCGAAGTAACCTTGAAGCCATCATAACCACAAGTAGCAGCACTTCCGGAAACAGGCTGCAGAGTCGCGCGGGACTTCCGGGGACGGACCTTTTTCTTCTCCAGGTCAGTCTTCCGCTTCCTCCCGCCCCCAAGCCCGCCTACGCCCGAGAGCGAGGGGAGTGCGCATGCCCGGCTCTGCGCCCTCGCCTCAGCTGCGCAGCTTCCGCGGCTTGGGGGTCATGGGTCTTTACTGTAGCGTCTTCAGGTAGTGTGATGTGAAAAAGATATTTTGTTTGCGTCCTTGAAACTGACTGTCCCCAGCACACTGGAGCTTTTGTTTCTTTCCTTTTTTTTTTTTTTTTTTGAGACAGAGCCTCAAGCTGTCTCCCTGGGTAGAGTGCTCTGACATCACAGCTCACAGCAACCTCCAACTCCTGGGCTCAAGCGAGTCTCCTGCCTCCGCCTCCCAAGTAGCTGGGACCACAGGTGCCCGCCACAACGCCTGGCTGGTTTTTTTGGCTGCAGCCGTCATTGTTGTTTTGGCGGCCCGGGCTGGGTTTGAACCCGCCACCTTAGGTGTATGTGGCTGGTGCCTTAGCCACTTGAGCCACAGGCGCCAAGCCGAGTTTTTGTTTCTTGATGATCCTGTTCAGCAGAAGTGGAGGCTGCTGGTGGAAGCCATTAGTCCACTTAGGCCTCACGTTCCATTATTGGAATAGTAGTGAGGTGGGAGTTATTTATACCCTACTGCTCAAGGTGCTCGCCTAGGTTTGATTTTCACACGTGTCTGCCTTCTGAGGGTGTATGTCTTCACATGGTGCACAGGCTTAGTCACTGCTGCAGATATTAGGAGCTTGTAAAAAATAAGTGACGTATATTTAAAAAGATAAGAGACTTTACATCTTTTGTATTAACCTGAATGAAGGTGAAATGCATTCCTCTTAGTAAAAGCATCACAAGAGGGCGGCACCTGTGGCTCAGTGAGTAGGGTGCTGGCCCCATATACCAAGGGTGTTGGGTTCAAACCCAGCCCTGGCCAAACCGCAACAAAAAAACAGCTGGGCGTTGTGGCAGGTGCCTGTAGACCGAGCTACTTGGGAGGCTGAGACATGAGAATCACCTAAGCCTAGGGTTTGGAGGTTGCTGTGAGCTGTGACTTCACGGCACTCTACGGAGAGCTATAAGTAAAGCTCTGTCTCTACAAAAAAAAGCATCACAAGAATGGAGAAGCAAGAATTCAGTGTACTCAATTCTAATATGAAGGCAGTAGATGATTTAATACAAGGTGGGGGGTAGGGGAATGAGGGATCTAGGAGAGGGGACAAGGTAGGGGGATAGGGAGACACGGTGTATGGCACACCTCTTGGAGGTGAGATACAATTATGAGAGGGACTTTACCTAACAACTGCAATTAATGTAACCTAATTCTTTGTATCCTCAGTGAATCCCAAACATTAGGAAAAAAGTGATGTGAATGCTCGGAAAATTCTGAAGAAGCATCCAAAGAGGTAAATACAATTTTATTGCACTACGTATTATACTAGTAATCTTTCTTCCTACTACTTCTCTACTAGTTATGCTATTGTACTGTAAAAAGAAAATACTAAAGTTTTTTCCTTCTATTGTGTGTTTGACATGTTGCATGTTCCATTTTAGGAGCACTAGGCAAGACCTTACTCCAGGACTAATATCTTTTTCTTTTTTAGTTGAAATCATCTTACTAAGTTTCAAGATTCCTCGAATTCTACATTTACATGAAATAACTGACCTGTTAGAGAAGATGACAGCACAGAAGCAAGTGCTGTAGCCACCGAAAATGCTACAGCCCCTGATTCTGATGAGGACTCAGGAGATGTGGAGCAAATAATCTGCCAGGTTCTTTGTTGAGTGCACCTGCATAACTTATTCAGGATGGCTACTATGCTAAGTCTGACTCAGATGATCCCTTATGTACCTGAAAATGACATCTAGGTCTACTGCACCACCCCTCCATCACAGAAAAAGAAAGTGACAGAAATTGTTCCGAAATGGAAAAAAGCTAACCTAACTGCACAGCCTGTAGCAGGTGGAGTTACAGAACCACGGAAAGATTTCACTGAAATGAGAACCCCCACAGAAATTCTTTAACTTGGGGGAGGGGGAAAAAAAAAAAATTCTTTAACTCTTTCTTTTTTTTTTCTTTTGAGATAGAGTCTTACTATGTAGCCCTCAGTAGAGTGCTGTGGCATCACAGCTCACAGCAACCTCCAGCTCTTGGGCTTAAGCCATTCTCTTGCCTCAGCCTCCCAAGTAGGTGGGGCTACAGGCGCCCACCACAACGCCCGCCCGGCTATTTTTTGTTATTTTTATTTTTATTTTATTTTATTCTTTGCAGTTTTTGGCTGGGGCTGGGTTTGAACCCACCACCTCTGGTATATGGGGCCAGCTCCCTAATTGAGCCACAGGTGCCACCCAGCGGTTAATTTTTGTTGCCGTTGTTTATTGTTTAGCTGACCTGGGCTGGGTTCAAACCCACCAGCCTCGGTGTACATAGCTGATGCGGTAACCACTGGGTTATGAGCACCAAGCCACTTTAACTCTTTCTTAATAATGAGGCCATTAAACTCACTGTCACATACTCCAGCTTACACACTGCAAGTAAGAGTGTAAATCTTGGCTTAACTAGCTCTGAATTCAAATGTTCTTTGGGAATTGTTTTTCTGAGTAGTTATGTCTCTGTTCCTAGAAGGTATATGTTCTGGGAATAAAGAACAGATTTGCAGAATGTACTCATTAGTGCTGCCCTGAAACATGACCATTTTTGAACTATATATTTTATTTTTGAGACAGTCTCATTTTGTCACCCTCAGTAGAATGCTATGGTATCACAGCAACCTCAAACTCTTGGGCTTAAATGATTCTCTGTCCTCAGCCTCCTATGTAGCTGGAACTACGGGTGCTGGCCATAACGCCTCTTTTTAGAGACAGGGTCTTGCTCTTGCTCAGGCTGGTCTCGAACCCGTGAGCTCAAGCAATCCACCTGCCTCAGCCTTCCAGAGTGCTAGGATTACAGGCGTGAGCCACTGCATCTGGCCTCAAACTATTTTCTAATTTTCATGTTGCTGACAATGCAAATTGGGACCCAATGGACAAGTGTTCCAAGTTGTGACCTCTTAAAACAGCTATTCTCAACCTGTGGGTCATGACCCAGGGGAACGTATTAAAGGGCTGCAGCATTAGGAAGGTTGAAAACCACGTCTTATAAGCACACTCAATGAGAGAGAGATGAAATTTGTTCTAAATGAAGCAATTTAACTCTGATGAATTCATGGTTCCATATGTTGGTTATCACAGGTGCAACAATTTATTTTTTTTTTTTTTTTTTTTTTTTTGAGATGGAGCCTCAAGCTATCCCCCTGGGTAGAGTGCCATGGCATCATGCTCACAGCAACCTCCAACTCCTGGGCTCAAGTGAGTCTCCTGCCTCCACCTCCCAAGTAGCTGGGACCACAGGCGCCCGCCACAACGCCCGGCTATTTTTTGGTTGCAGCCGTCATTGTTGTTTGGCGGGTCCGGGCTGGGGATTCGAACCCGCCACCTCAGGTGTACGTGGCTGGCGCCTTAGCCGGTTGAGCCACAGGCGCCGAGCCGCAACAATTTATTAAAGAAAAGCTCATTTGGTTTGGCTTTATGCTTTGGTGTGGTACAGTGCATCTGGGCTACATTAGCTGGTTTCAGGCATATCAGGGTAAAACCCCAAATACTAAACATGAGGAATGCGGTGTTGGTGCATCACTTGTCCTGCAGTTTAGTGAGGCACTTAAGAGGTATACCCTGGATAATACCATTTGTATTTGATAACTTTTTCACCAGTATTGCACTTCTTGGTAAGCTCAGTTTAGACAAAGCTCCATTGAAATCAGATGTAGCTCTGAAGAAAAAAAGAATGAGACACATTGGATTATGAAATTGATGGCAAAGGCAATACTGTCTGCTGATGGAATAACAGTTGTTGTCACTGTTGCCTCATCTGGTGCCGCTATTAATCCCCTGTGTCTTGTTAGTTGTCATTCCCAGAAACTGAAAGAAGATCCAAGTTCAGCAGTCAAACATGATCAAATGTATAACGATTTCATAGGAGGCATAGGCAGAGCTGATGACAACATTGATAAGTATCAGCCATCAATCCATGGAAAGAAGTGGTATTCAAACCCTCTTTCGTTCTATTTCAAATTGGTATTAACAAAATGTTTGACAGCTGCACAAAACATAAGACAAAGCAAATGGATTTTCTGGAGTTTCAGCAATGTGTGGTATGCTATTATTTGGAGATGCATGGTCAACCTCCAGAACCTGGCACCTTCTCAGAAGCATAACATTGGCTCAGGTGGCTAAGGTGCCAGCCACATACACCTAAGGTGGTGGGTTCGAATCCAGCCCAGCCCGCCAAAACAGCAATGATGGCTGCAACAAAAAAATAGCCGGGCATTGTGGCGGGCACCTGTGGTCCCAGCTACTTGGGAGGCTGAGGCAGGAGACTTGTTTGAGCCCGGGAGTTGGAGATTGCTGTGAGCTGTGATGTCACGGCACTCTACCCAGGGGGATAGCTTGAGGCTCTGTCTCAAAAAAAAAAAAAAGCATAACATTGACATTGTGATGGCAGGCATCATGTGATACTTAAACAGGGAAAGCAAACACAGTATACTGAATGTCATAAGAATATCACTTTTTTTTTTTTAAGAGACAAAGTCTCACTTTGTCACCCTCAGTAGAGTACTGTAGCTTCACAGCTCACAGCAACCTCCAGCTCTTGGGCTTAGGCGATTATCTTGCCTCAGCCTCCAAGGTAGCTGGGACTATAAGCGCCCGCCACAATACCCTGCTATTTTTTGTTGCAGTTTGGCTGGGGCCAAGTTTGAACCTGCCCCCCTTGATACATGAAACCGATGCCCTACTCACTGAGCCACAGGCGCTGCCCAGAATATCACTTTAAAATGTGTAAATGTGATGTTGCCTTATATGTGAAGTGTTCTGTTGAATATCACACTGAATAGTTAGTGTCATCACTTCCTAAGAAATACGATTTTTAAACATTATAATGTTAC